GTACAGCCTTATTGCTGGATATAATTGAAGGAATATTGTCTGATTGTTCAGTGGTTTGCTGTTAATTCCAAAAATTCTACTTCTTCAACTACTGCAACTCTTTTTTGTTAATTTTGATAGATCTGTTTTTACTTATTATTATCATTATTATTACTTTTATTACTGTTATTATGACTATTATTATTAGAAGTTACAGTTGTTTTTTAGTACTGATGCCTTTTGAACCACTTTGTTTGAATTTTTACAACGTCTTATAATGGATTTCACCCACGTGTGATATATTTGTATGTCCACACTTACATTTCTTCTATACACATTGTATTGGAAGAATAACAAGCCTTAGCAACCACCCACCCACACTATTTTACGTACGAGGTGTGGCCATGGTAAACAAAATGGCGGCTTACACATCGAACAAACTTTCTATGACGGCAATGGATGGCAACTTTCTATTAAGTATGAAAGGGTTAATGCAGAAAGCAAGCTATAATAAATATATATATATATGCACCAAATCCCTTTTAGGAGATGCTTAGCAGCGACCATTCTTTCCTCCAACCAGCTTTTATAGCTTGGAAAAGCTCCAAGCTAATGAATATTTTAAGAATCAGTTTTGATTTTTCTTCATGCGTATTCCATTGAATCTTGCCATCCAAAATGGTGGCCAATCATCACGCGTAAGTGGATACCGTAAAAACAGTAATGATATTCATAGGCCACTGTCAATCTCACCTGAGGTCCATAATTAATAATTTTACAACCTGGGGGCTATGCCCCCGGTTGTCCTATAATTGATGTCACCCACATGCAATATACAGTATATATAATTGTATGTCAACACTTACATTTCTTCTATACATGTATTGGAGAAACAACAAACCTTAGCAAGCACCCACCCATGCTCACTCATTGAGTGCTCCTACGGCTCCTTTATGTAATGGGCGTGGCCACAGTAAACAAAATGGTGGGATAAATACACATGGGACAAACTTATGTGCCTTCTAACAGCAAGAAAACATAGAGGTACTTGTCTAAAAACTTATCTAGAAGCATTATAAGGTAGAGAGAACCTCCATAAGTCTTAATAAGAACCCAGCTGTACATGCAAGGTGGTGGAAACAATTATAGGAATATTTTTACTGTTACGCTTGTTATAATTTTAAAATTTTAAATCAAAAAATTTTAATTAATTATAGCAAGAGTACATAACGGCACATATTAATTCATGAAAGCAATAGTTGATTTGACAAAATAAAACCACAAGCTTTACAATTTCAGTTATCTAAGCATATTCTTTCAAACAATGCACTATTTTTATTAATTAATTATACACACATATAGCATTTAGATTACTATATATGCACATAATTTTTTATACATGTATATAACACAAATAAATTTCTTATGAGACCCTTGCACCACTTTTTGCAGTGTGGTTATAGCTGTGCATATGTCACACATACATGTACTTTACAGTTAACACTGATGTACTCTATTAGCATAACATTTCTGTCCTATTATGTTATACTTACTCCTAGAAAACTTTATCCTAGTTTTAATAGCAATGGAAATATTGCAGGAAATTTTGGAGGTGGAAATTTTTACTAAATTTCTAAACTATAGTGATTTGCAAAGTGAAAGTAAGTTTGTGGCCATAGTTCACTAATTTTTAAGGCTTGCCCTACTCTAAAACTAGCATGCACTCAGATAAAAAATAAGGATGACATGTATGTACAGTCAGAAAATGATATCTTGCTCATGTGGGCTGGTTCACCCCAATGAAGTCTATACCTAAGTCCAGGTGCTCTATATCAATCAATAATCTTTCAAACTTAGGGCCTTGAGTGTCAAACCGATGATACATATCAAACTATTAATAATACAATTTATCAAAATGACCATAATTATGCACATGAAAAATACCTTTCTTTTAGGATTTGATCTATCAATTAATAGAAAATCGATCAATTCATCATTATTTGATGCTAACTGTATCCAATGAGACAATTTACCTGTGATAGTTTAATAATTTTTCACAAAAAAATTAAATATACATCTTAGAATAATTTGTCGTACAATTAATTTTTACTACCTCTTCCAGCTCCAAATTCAATAAATAAACTATCACTGGATAGCAATCCTAATGAATCCAAATGACCAATTATCGATGACTATAAATTATAATACATGTAAATGTGCATATTATCAATAATAACAATAATGTACTTGTTGTAATAAATGCTTGAGTGCAGTTGGCCCATTACTGTCACTGCTAATTTCATCATCCAATACTTTATGAGTCTTTATATCCTCTGATATTGGTACCTCTAATTCTAATTGCAATAATAATAAAAATCAATCATTATTGATATCATTGTACTTACTCTTTATGGCTTTGTCAATGCGTCCCATTAGCTCCATCATTGTACCTTCACTAAAATCAGAAATATTACACTAAAATAAGAATAATAATAATGATGATCATAATTAATAATTAACTCACAGTTTCTTCCTTTAGTGGTACATAATTGGGTATACCAGAATTAATATTAGCTACATAACAATCCTAACAAAAATAATTAATTAAAAAATGAGACTATTAATTACATAACAAAATAGCAATAGCATTTTAAATTACTTAAAAGACGTAGCAATTAAAGTAGAAGTGGAATATTTTACTGCATTTATTATTCAATTTTAAAAGTTTTACGTGTTTTTAATTTTACAGTTTACATGGAAGCTACTATACATTAATATAACCAATAAAAATTAACTGGAACTTATTTTTACTTCTTTCTTTTATCGTAAAATTAAAGTCACCTTAAAATATTTTACTTTTAGGGTAACTAATGACATACTGGCACTTCCCTCTTGCTTGCGTTACATTTCTTTAAATGTTTATTAATATCTTTCTCATAGACTGTGCTAAATAATGATAAATAAACAATAATAACTGAAGTAGTTATTCTTACTGTGACGAATCCAATGGACACGTAATTCTCTTTCCAATGCTTCCCTAATTACATGTATAAACAATAATTATTGTCGATTCAATATCCCATTTTAAATAAAATTATTTAAGGTTACAAAAAATTACTATGAAAATTTAACAACTATACGGCAAATTCAAAGCACTATA